GCTTGATGAGACTGGCTAATGCGCCTGAGAAGTAACGAAAAACCATGGATAACTATATATCTAAGTTATATATAAGTAATCCATGGAAAAACGTTATCGGAGGCCACGTCGAAACGTTTCAGCTGCCGCAGCCCGGGCCGTCGATGTGACGTTCGCTCGGGTCACTGTGGTGGCAGCCTTCCTCGGGTATTGATCATTTTCTGGCTGGCCCGTTGTTTTCGGACTAGTGGCACGGGTCTGGCCTGGCTCATCGTTCCGACCTTCCAATGACGTCACTCTGACGTCAGCGCCGACGGCGGCCAGCTGCGTGCCGCCCGTCCGGCCGTGTTTTCCCGTCGGCAGCCGACTTCGTCGTATACCCGGGGGCCAGCTTCCCATGAGCTCATCGCCGACCTTCTGTGGGCTGTTTGCAGCAGCTGGAACTAACACCGTGCACAGAGCTCGCGGCACGGGCGACTCCGGTGTCAGAGAGCTCCGGCGGCCTCTGTGACCCGACCCCGCTCCCTGCCCTCCCCTCCCCTCGCGTCTGGCCGCCGGCCGCTCCGTTTCGGGTCGCACCTGGGATCAGTCCAAGGTCGTCCCCGGCGTCACCGCTCCGAGCGACATCGGACCTCGGACCGGCTGACGACCACCGTCTGACACGCGCCGCCGCGTCGCCGACGCTGCTCGGCCCCGTTCGTCGACTCCGTCGGTCGTCGCCGCGTCGGACGACGACTCGTGGCCGGCGGCACGCGGCAAGCGTCGAACAAAGAACTCCTGCAGGGTCTGGGGAGCTCGTGCAGAGCTGTTTCCGTCTCAACGACACGTGGTGCTCTGGTGGAGATATGGCGTTCGCGTTCCAATCTCGAAAGACTGTGGGGTGGGTGCACCCACACGGTTATTTTCGCACGTCTCTGTAAGGGTGGCGTGTGGGTGGGTGGGGTGGGTGGTAATGGAAAGGGGTACCGGTGCCTGGTGAATGTATGGACTTATGGTGAAAGGTGGGACTTCAGGATGGCTGCATCTGGATAATGTGTCGTCACGGGCCAAACATTTTCCGTGTCGCACTTGGGCAGTCGCTTTCTAACTAGAACGGCTTCCCCCACCGCCTTCGAGGGTGACAATACATTTGTAATTCTGTCGCGCATTCCTCTATGTCGATTGAACTGACCAACGGGCTTGAATCTTAAGACCGCTTGACCTGACCCGGCCCCGGCCTGACCCCGACCTGACCGTCTCTGACCCGGTCTCGGTGTGCGTGAGAGTCCGCCCGGCACCCAGCGCTGGCCGGCCGGCCTCCGGCGCCAGCGGGGAATCGGGAGCAAGGGCGGCGCTCAGAGAAAGTGCGCCCGCGCGCCGCAGCGCCCCGCGCCGCCGTGTCGCGCCGGGTGAATCGTTTGGGGTGGAAACGGGCTCCCCATGGATAAGAGCGACCCAAGAGACTATTAGTACCGTGTGCACTCTGAGACTGAGAATGATATACAAACACAAAGAAACTCTGCGCTGGCCAGCGATGTTGAGCGGACAAGCATAACAGTCACTGTAGCTGGTGCCCATCCCAATAGAGCACGGTCAGGCACAACTTCAACCATATCAAACCTTTCCTATCCGTGCGCCCCGGTGCGCTCCAGAGAGGGCCGTGAGGGCTGCTCGGACGACCGGCCTCTCCAAAGGCCTCCACAGGAGGCTGCGGCCCCGCAGTGACGGGCGCCAGCGCCGCTCACAGGCCTTGGCAGCGCGGTCGGCGTCATTTCCGGCCTCACCGAGCCGAGGTCGGTAAACGCACGGCGTCAGGACGCTCTCCTCTGCGCCGAGCTCGAGCCGACCTTGTCCCGACCCCGTTCTTCGAGTGGTGTCCCCAGTGCCGGGGGTTATGCCGTCCCGCTCCGAACCACTCGCTTCTCCGTTCATTATACAACGTCTCACTCTCATCTCGCTTGTTCCATTCCGCCTTGTCTCTTCTTGTCTCGTCTCGGTCTTGACCTGTCTATTCTCCTGCGGTAGCCGCCGGTACTGTTACTCGCGACTACCGGTATCGGCGTTACATCAGATCATTACATATGCAGCTGCTCAGGACCGTCCCGCTGCAATGAGTGGCCATCCGTCCCGAGTCAATGCAGCGGGATTAAGGCTAAGCCGCGCGCACTATAACGGGCAAGTGTGTGCAGTGTTGCGATGGTGAGCGGTCCGCAGGGGCTGTTCGCCGCGTCAGCCTGCCGAGCTGACCTGGGTTGAGTGGTGTTGATTAGTCAGCCGGGGTCGAGATGAGTAGGACGCCACTGGCCTGATTTTAGTCGCGGGTCAGCCGAGTCGGTCAGCTGGAGAGGAGAAAAAGAGGGAGAGCGAGAGAGAGGGAGAGAGAGCGAAGGGGTGAGGGGTCATCACTGCTCCACAGCGAGGCAGAGAGAGAAGAGAGAAGCCCTCCGTGCCATTTGGCGCCGGCTTTCACGCCGACAAACGGCTTCTTGCAGCGTGAGAAAGTGTGTGGGTCGGAGAGAGGCGGGCGGCGCGCCGCTGTCGCTCGCGCGCGGCACCCTGTCCGCCCCGACCCGCCCAGCCCAGCCCGGCTGGCGGCCCGGCCCTGCAGCCGCCTTTCTCTGGCGCACGGACCGTCACCGTCGCCGTATACCGTCACCACCGCCGCGCCGAGCCGGTTGCAAAAAGGGCTTTCTCCGTACGGCAGTGTGAGCCGCTCGCTCGATGCTGTTGCTTCATCTCCGTCACTGTCTGATGACGGAAGACAGCTCGGGGCTGCCACAGCTCTGAGAGGCTGTCGCAGCTCGGGGAGGCTGCCACAGCTCGACAACTGGGGCGGCTTGGTCGGTACCGGCTCGGTATTGATCGCCGAGCGGCGGAGATGCGCCTGGGAGGTGTCGGTCGCCGGGGTGGCTCAACCGAGAGGTGGGTGAAAAGGTACCAGACCCAAAGATAAATCGCGGGATGCTTTCTTGGGATGGGAAATGGGAATGTTCTACGTGATAATATAGACGCCTTGCAATGGGCCATTGCAGGGCTGTGTCAGAATGCACACAACCCAATGCCAGTCCACATGCAAATGCATAGATAGGTATGTAGTGTGGTATATGATTACATTTTAGACGTTTCAAATAGTGTCCCTCACTGTCCACGTTGACAAATACGACATAAATTGCTCACATCACTACATAGACACAACTATCACAATCACATCAGTCCCATCTCCGCCTCATCCCAGTCATCTCTCGCCGCTCCGCCGCCTCTGCCCCGCTCCGGCCCACGGGTGCCGCTACTACCGCCGCCCATTTTCGGCCGCCAGTCGCCGCCAGCGCGGGCCGGCTGGCCGGCTGACCGGCTGACCTGACCTCGACAGGTGCCCACCGCTCGGTCCCCGGTGACTCACGGGACTGAGCGCGCCGGTGGCTGATCGGTTCTGGGGCGGGTCATCCCGCGCCGGCTGATGGGTGTCTGAAGTGATAACAGATTCAGGCTTGAACCGTGTTGGCTCGTTTCAGAGTGTAATAAGTACTATAGTTGGTGTGGTTTGGTCAGTCGAATAAAACATCACCGGGCGGACACTGAGCTTATTTACTATGGACAAATAGGTAAACTTGGCGACCTACTGTACTATAAACCGCCAGGGGGAATGTTTAAACAATTTAATTATGTGTGTAAAAATAAGCAATGAAAGTTTATTATTATCGGATAGTCCAACGTGAGGCCAACGTAAAGCCGTTCTCCCATAAACATGTACGTGTTAACTCCTCTAACTGATTTGCACGACATGCTGGAAGCATGTTTCGGTTGCCCTAGTGCCGGTTTGGCGCTCCATTTGCAGTGGTAAAACTGTTATTGTTGGCACTAGCGCCGCACGGTTGAGCGGCCGAGCTGTTAGTAGCCGTGTAACACCTGCCTTTCACATTGTAATCGGCGGCGGCGCGCGGGCTGCAGGCCATCGCCAGCTCGGCCGCGCGCCTGCTGTCCCCTTCACATGACCAGTGAGTGGCAGCACCCTCCCCTCCCCCTCCCGCTCCGCCGGCGGCACTTTTACCGACCCATATCCGTCCGCGGCGCGTTGCCCCACCGCGCGCGGCCCGTCCTGACACCGACCTGCCTGCTGTCTCCGCAGGTGAAAGTGGTCAAATTCAGCTACATGTGGGCCATCAACAACTTCAGCTTCTGCAGAGAGGAGATGGGCGAGGTGCTCAAATCGTCCACCTTCTCGGCAGGAGCCAACGACAAACTCAAATGGTGAGGAGGGTGACGGGCCGGTGCGGCACAAGGACAGGGTCAGGGACAGGCCGAGGGTCTGGAGAGCGGGGTGCGAGGGACTGATTAGTCGGAACGGACACACGGAGACGGGAGACAGCAGGCAAGAGGTTGGACGAAATTACTGGTCGATAGGAATGGGAGCACACGGTGGGTCAGAGAATGGAGCGTCGCTAGTGACGGGTTGGTAACAACAGCGGACGACAGTCTCCTGCACTTTCACTGGACCCGTGACGATGGCGCGCGAGCCGCGTAACGCTCCCTCCGACTGTGTCACGCATGTGACGAGGGGCGCCTGGACACGTGCCGCGTGCCACGTGCGGCCAGCGCGGTGTCACGCGGCGTTTCCGACACTGGTAACATTTCCGACGTCCCCCTGTCCTGAACTGGGGTCAATTCCTGCGGCCGATGTGATAGACATGGGGTGGTGAGGTCCAGGGTCCAAATCACACGTGGGTCTCGCTGTGTGGGGCGTTCGGACCGGGTGGAATTTGGTAGTGGAGTTTGCCCCGGTTTTGTACGGACGTCCCGCTCGCTCGCTCTGTGGACGGTTCGTTGTGAGGCGAGAGGGACGCGTTCATAGAGCACCTGCCGGCCCGACCGTCGCTCCGTACCGCCGCTGGTCTGTGAACTGTGACGCTGGTCGAGGAGCGTTGTTCCCCTCCGGTCCTCCCCTCTGTCTCCCCTCGGCGACGGGTCCGCTCTCCCTGGACCCTCGCCTCGCCCTCTCTCCTCGCGTTCACCCTCTCCCCGTACGGCGGCCTCCCCTCCCGGGGTCCCTCTTTTTCGGCTGGCGGTTCGGGGCTCGTACCGTCCCCGTTCGTTCGCCGTCTGTCCGTCTCTCTGTCTCTCTGTCTGTCCGTCGGTCCGCGTCGGTCTTTCGCAGACATTGGACTCCCTGCCCCTGCATTGCACTAAAGCATACTCTCAATCTAGCGCTCTCTGTGAAACGTATTTTTACTCGGCGATGACTTGTATGCGTGACTGTGTGTACTGTGTGTGCGTGTGTGTCATTGTGTGTGTGTTTATGCGACATCATTGCCTTGCTCTTTTATTCATCTCTGACTAAGGACACGTAAAAGCTACGCGTTGCTGTAGAGTGTCTGCTATTGTCAAATACAAATACAAATACAAATATATATCGTTTCTCGCCAGTTCTGAACAAAATTTTTGCAATGTTCCGCCCTTTCCAACCCTGGCGCACGCCGCCCGTCCCAGAGATCGTTTCGTGTGATCCGTGGCTTACACAGCAGTGAAATGTGCGATGGGATGGGTGGTTCGCGATGAGCTGCAAATAACACACCTTCCCTGATGGTTCGTAAATTGTCATGTAGGTACCCGTGAGAAGTTGATGATGTTCACTTCACCGGTAGTTATTCGAAATCGTAGGATCGTGCTCATCCTTAAGGTAATGGTATGTCTTCGTTTAAAAACGCTTAGGGTAACCATGATTATGATTTCGGCTCAATCTGAAGCCCTCGTAGGCCAATCGGTCAGCTTTTTGCCTTTGACATGTGCATTTCCCAAAACTCGCGATAAACGCGACAGAAAATTCTGAACACACTGCCTTTCCGATGGGTCCCTCTCTTTCCTTGATTCGGCGGACGCAAGGTGCATGCCTCTGAGCGCCGCTTCGAACCAGCGTTGTGATATAGGTGCAGCTGTCGCCGTTATCAATATCCACCACCCTGCCTCATATCACCTCAGCGCGACCGGTGCGCTTGTCTGGTCTGTGTGCGTAGTCCTCCGGTGTGTGTAGGAGCGTGTGTGCGTGTGTGTGTGTAAGCGCCCGTGGCTATTTCTGGTGGGCGGGGCCGGTGCCAGCGGGCTAGGGCGGGGCAGGAGCGGGGCGGGGCGCTGTGTTTCGGGTCGGTGGGAGAGGGGGAGGGAGAGGTGGTGGGTAGAGGAGGGGACAGGTCCTGCAGCAGTGCAGCTCCCCGGCTACGGCGTCCTCCACGGCTGTAGTTCTGCCAACAATAACAGCTCGGCGCTAACTTAGTCGGTTGCTGTATTAGTGAGATGAGCTATCCGCCGAGCTGAGCCAGTGAGCCATCCACTGAGCTGAGCCGAGAGCTGCGAGCTCAGCGCTCTACATAATGTCAGGCTCGCTGCAGCGTGCAGTGATAGTGACTGGCAGCTCTGGTGATAGACTGACCGTGCTCTGAGGTATGGGACGATGTGTTCCGGGTATAGAGCTCGGGTTTATTTGGATGACATGATTCCGATGTTGCTTGTTAATGTACCCGGGTTAGCCTCGGTGATATGCCGCGGTAATCGGTCAAGACAGTGATTTATGGCGTTAGTTGAGTTGTTTGTGATCGGGTGCTGCTCCTCGTGTCACGTGAGCTGACGTTACGACATCCTTGTTGCAGGTGTTTGCGGGTAAATCCGAAAGGACTAGACGAAGAAAGTAAAGATTACCTCTCACTCTACCTTCTACTAGTAGCGTGCAACAAACAAGAAGTTAGGGCTAAATTCAAGTTTTCAATTCTCAATGCCAAACGAGAAGAAACCAAAGCTATGGGTGAGTTAAAAGACGCGCACGTGAAGGTATTGCAGTGAAGGCTGTTGCATATCTATGTCCATTGTCTCATCGATCAGTCATCGTGATTGATCATATTTGGAAATAAGCTGTGCTTGCACGTCAGTTACATGCACTGTGATGTCACAGAGCAGCATAGAGCTCACGGGCGTAGGGTTATGTAAATGCAGCCGAGTTATTCAATGATATTACCCTCTGAGGGCTTGTCTAAGGTCTCATCCCAGTCGCTGATCTTCTGCCCATCTGTCCGATTTCATCATCCGATCCGACGTGTGCTTTACCCACTAAGGTACTGCTACATTAAAATGTGATAGTTGTCTGCGGGTGAATCTTTGTCGCCGTCTCCGTCCACCTTTCTCCGCGGCGACAACGGCGGCCGACTGACTCCCCATTCTCCTCCGTTCTCAGAGAGCCAGCGAGCATACCGGTTTGTACAAGGCAAGGACTGGGGCTTCAAAAAGTTCATCCGACGAGACTTCCTCCTCGACGAGGCCAACGGTCTGCTTCCTGACGACAGGCTAACCCTGTACTGCGAGGTGAGAGATAGAGATAAAGAGAGGGACTGGGAGAAAGAGAAGGGGGAGAGAACTGAGAAATGCCACGGCCGTGGCTGTTCCCAGCCGATTGAGGCCGTAATCTGTCAGGAAATCGGTGTGTGATAGCGCCCACAGCCGGTGGTGCCGTTTGAAATCGCATTCTCATGCGGCGACCTCGCTTAGCGATTACAGAGACCTTGGATGGGCTGCGGCGGCGAGACCCGCCGCTGCTGCCACCTCTCGGCCGCGCCGCTAACCTCAGTTTTCCGGCAGGTGAGCGTGGTGGCGGACAGTGTCAACGTGTGCGGCCAGTCGAACCAGGTGCAGTTCAAGGTGCCCGACTGTCGGCTCTCGGACGACCTGGGTCAGCTGTTCGAGAGCCAGCGGTTCAGCGACGTCACCCTCTCGGTGGGCGGCCGAGAGTTCCAGGCGCACAAGGCGCTCCTGGCGGCCCGGTCGCCCGTGTTCGCCGCCATGTTCGAGCACGAGATGGAGGAGCGAAAACACAACCGTGTCGACATCACCGACGTCGACCATGAGGTGCTGCGCGAGATGCTGCGCTTCATCTACACGGGAAAGACCAATAACCTGGAGAAGATGGCCGATGACCTGCTGGCGGCAGCCGATAAGGTCAGACTCGGTCGGGTCGGAGGGTGGGGAGGGCGCCGGTGCGGCGGAAATAATACTTGGGTGTGGCCTGTGGGCTGTGGGATATGGTTTGGTTCATATACGAGACATTATGCGAGCCATATTTTGTCACATGCAAACCCTCTGTTTGCCTATCAATGTCACCTCTCGTTGCTACCTCCCGATATAACCTCTCGACTGTTATCCCCCTGCCCCACATCTGACCTGCGTCTGTCCCCACCCCACAGTACGCCATGGAGCGACTGAAGGTGATGTGCGAGGCGGCCCTGTGCGCCAACCTCAGCATCGAGAACTCACCAGAGGTGCTCATCCTGGCTGACCTGCACTCGGCAGAGCAGCTCAAGGCGCAGGCCATCGACTTCGTCAACATGTGAGTTTCTCAGTGATCGGAGAGTCCAACCGCAGAAACTCGGCGCAGAGCTGGCTGCGACGCACCGCGGGGAGCTGAGTTAATCCTTCAGTTATAGATCATATCACACCTGACATGTAGGCTATCGTTCCATCACATGTAGGCTTTACCCTGGCGTGAAACGAAAGCTGCTATTTTATCAACGTGGTATTTAGTTTCTCTGTCCGCTTTTTCCCGAGTGACAAGGTTAGCAGCCGGGTTTAGGCTAATATCTTTTGTCACCGACCCATAAGCGCTGTCACACGGAAGGGGTGTTCAGGTGCCGACCCCATTACCAGCGGACCTGCCTTACATTATATCTCTGAGTAGCGCCCACCGGGTCTCGAGCCCTGCGGTTTCTCCGAGTCTTTTCTCTGCGTCGCCCTGCATCTCAATCGCGCCGTCCGACCGGACTCTCACTCATGAGCGGGGTGAAAGTGTGGTCGATACCACTAGACATCGGGGAGAGAGAGTACAGCTGGGCCGGGGAGAGAGCACCGACGGACGGAGAGAGAGTGTATTTATCGACACGGGAGAGAGTATAAACGGTGCTCTCTGCCGCATCCGCTCTGACTGGGCTGCACCCATGTGATTTGTGTTACTGTGCAGTGTGCAGAGAGCTGCAATGTAACAGACTATTCCTTTCTCGTCGTCGCATGCGATCTCCCTTTAGTTTCTCTCCCGCTCTCTCCCCTCACTCACCAACCCTTGTTAGTGGTACTTGTTCTCACTCGCTTCTCTTTTTCTCTCCCCTTTCTCTGTCTAAATATTTTTATCCACTTCTCTTTCCCTCTTGCGCTGCTTCCCACGACGCGCCGTCTCGTGTCTCAGTCTTATATTGTATGCTTCCCCCCGCTCTGCCCTCCCCGCCACCACCGACCCCCGCTCTCCCCCCGCCGTTACTGCCTCCCTCTCTCCCCCCGCCGTTACTGACTCCCCCTCTCTCCCCGCAGCCACGCCACGGACGTGATGGAGACGCCCGCCTGGAAGTCGATGATCACATCTCACCCGCACCTGATCGCCGAGGCGTTCCGGGCGCTGGCCACCCAGCAGGTGCCGCCCATCAACACCACACGCAAACGGATGAAGCCCTCCCCGTGAGGCGGTGTCTGGGAGCCAGCGAGGGGCGCCGGCTGCGCGCCACGCGCCGTCAATGTTCAATGTTCAAAGCGGCCTGCGTCGCTGCCGCCGCCGGCACCGGCCAGGGGTCGTCAGACAGTGTGATAGCTGCCGCCGCGCCGGACTCGTTGTTACGCGGACTGTACCCAGACGGTCCTCGTGATGGTCCGTGGATTTCTGTGGTCCCAGTGGTCCTCAGAATGGTCCCGGTGGTCCGAAAGGACCGTCGCGCGGTCCGGCCGGCCGGTCCTGCGCCCTACGAATTCAGCGTACGTATGTGTAGTCCGTTATGACCTGATTAGAGGTCCTTTCTGGTACCGCTGCTCGGCCCGCTTCGAGGTCTGCCATGCGGTCCTCACAAATCCCGCTGTGTGATTCTCGAGTCTGCGAGATTCGCCTGGTCGTTTTAGTCGTCTGTGGTTCTCCGCCGCGATCCGCTGGTTGGTGGATGATTGGTCTCTGGGGACCTTTTGGTCCCGTTGTCCCGGCCACCGAGAGGGACAGGGCCCGGCCGCTGCCCACCGACCGATCTCACGGGCGCGCGGCGGCTCCGTTGTTACTGCGCCGCGCCGGCACCTCGGATGTGTACCTGTGTGTGTATGTCTGTGTGTGTATATCTGTGTGCCAGGGAGTGGAAGAGAGCTCGCGCTGCATTGTGTGTATGTGTGTGTGTGAGGGGCCTCGTCACGGGTCCCGGGGAAGCGTCCCCCGCCGTCGCCGCCGCCGGCCGGTCGCCGCCCGGGGTGTTGGGTGCCCGTGTTTCTCGCGGAGCGCCGCCCCCGGTGCAGGAGACCGCTGCGCGTGGCGGCGGTTTATTTGTTAACATTCTGTGCGACTCCGCACGACGCCGTCTGTGTTCAAAAGCAATCATGTACAAGGTCATTACGTGCACTGGTAATAATAAACCGATCCTGCCGTACTCGACGCTTTTCTAGTTGGCCGGGCGTGGTGGGTTATGTCGCCATGGTTCATCAAGCGTCCCCGCGTACCTGAGGTGCACCTCGTGATACCGGGAGGAGTACAATGTGTACCGCTACAGTGGCTCGTAATCTGGAACAGACGACCGGAGAGAAACGGCCGTCAGTAGCCGCGCACCGGGGGACAGAACGCAGTGTAAACGAGATGACTGTGTATTGAAGTCACACGCAGACAAGGTGTAAGTTCGACGCTCAGTTCACGGGACAAATGCACTGATACTGTGGCACCGGAAAAGGAAAACTCTAAACCACATCTCATCAGCTTAGCGTTGGATGGTTCATCAATGAGTAGCAAGACGCTAACTGAGGACAGTGACGGCAAATGCATCTGCGTGTGAGCCGACATCAATATTTCACTTTACACTCACTTCACAGCTCACACCCCAAAGCCAATGAACATTGATACGATGCGACTATATTATTAACTAGGCATGATGGGTAGATGATATATCACGGTAGTGTGATTGTTACGCAGATTACAAGTCCAATACCTCCAAATTGTATGAGCAGGGAGTTTCGAAAACCCTATCCTGCGTCATACTTCAACCCTGACCAGTGACCACTAGATAGACACTGCTACCGTTAGTTTCAGAACTCTACCACAGATGTCGCTACGATCGACACCAAGCACCGAACCACGCTAGATGCGATCATAGTAGATTGCCTCGGTGGGGTAATCAATCGATCCATAATCGTCACCTCTGTGCGCGAACGAGGCGACTCTGGCCCGCTCCTTGGACCGCGAGAGTAGGATGGCGGCTCCGAGGGTGGCCGCCGCTCCGAGGGCCATCAGCATCAGCATGGTGGTCACCGTGGAGGGACCCCGGCCGTATACCTCTGTGAATGAGGGGACGATAGGTCAGACGAGAAAGAGAGCGAGAGAGATAGAGAGCCACAACCACCAGAGACCTCCATCGCGTTGGCCAAGTTTTCCCGAGGAGGCTAATAGCTCGTAGGTATGCTGACTAATGAAACAACGAAAGCTTAACACATCTTACCAATGTTATCATGCACAGAGTTCCTAAGTGATCGGGAGTTGGGGTAAGCAACCATCTTTGATTAAGATGAAGTTACTCGTAGACTAGTAAACATGGTCACGATATGTGATTTAATTTTTAAATGCGCTTAGCCAAAACGATACACTTAGTGGCTGTTCAGATATTTGCGAAAACTCAGGAAGGGCGTAGGTCCCCACCCACCCTCCATCTCGGCACACGATAACGACTACAAACAGACATGAATGACGCAACGAAACAAACGTATACTCTGTTCATTTCATCGTGCGGTGTGCAATGTGTACGCACTGTGCAGTGTGCAATGAGCCTCTTCCACTACGATGACAAGGAACGATTCTGTTTGGAGTGCGTTCGACTCAGACCCATGCCGTGGTTATGCGATAAGTCTTCGGCAGACCATTGGGTAACACGTGATAGCGGAAGAGAAGATGCTATCAGGTAACAGGCATTTTTCCTTCCGCTGTGATCACCCACAGTTATTGATAGAACCTAGCTGATACATTAATGATTAGAAAAGAATGCAATGGAAAAACGATAACCGCTTGGACGGGGAAGTAACTTACTGCCTAATAAAGAAGAATAAATACAGTCCACCAGAAGCCATTAGCACTTAGCAGGCATTGATTGATGTGCGTACACATGCGCTGTAACGTTATCCATAAAAGCATTGAAAAATGAAGTTATCATGTCTTGAAAGCTACACAAAAAGCTACACTGTTGGTCCAATGACCATTGACCTATGTACCTCAGGTGTAGAGATCAATTAGGCTGGTCTATCACCCTTCATTCAAAACTGATACCTCCATTCCTATAACGCCGGTGAAGTGGGCTCTCACCTGCGTCCCGGCTCTCCGTGCGACGGCTGGGCTCTGCCGGCTCCTTGAGACGCGCCTGCTCCTTTCTGCTGTCGACCTCCGGCTCTTTGCGGGGTTCCTCGGCCGTCGGCGGTGCGCCCGGACCGAACGGACCAAACGCACCGCCTGGGAATGCGCCTGGACCGCCCGGACCAAAGTGACCACCCGAGCCACCCGGAGCGCCCGGATGGTCCAGCAGCGCGTCCGCACCGCCCGGGACCACATCTGCCAGCTGAGAGATGATCACCGTCATGAAGTCCTGGGCCAGCGAGATGTTCAGCTTGAACAGACCGCTGGTGTTGAACGTGACGACCCCGAGGTTCATGCCGACGACGGCCGAGCCGTTGACGACCACAGCGGCCACCCTGCCGTCCGGGAGTCGCGGGATGGTGCCGTCGGAGCCAGCCGGCCGACCGTCAGCTTTGTCATCCTCCTTCGCGTCATCTTGCTTATTATTTCCAGCTTTATTGTCACCTTCGTCTCCGTCATTTTCATCTTCGTCTTTTCCGTTTCCATGAACGTCAGCTCCATCAGCTCCATCGTTGTCCTTCCCACCATCTCCCTGTGCCTTTCCATCCTCAGTCTTTCCCAGCCACGGACCGCTCACCGAGGGTGCCCGCATCGCCAGCAGAGGCCGCTGCTCTCCTGCGGCGGTCGCCGGCTCTGCGCTCGGCACCTCGTCCTGCACACTCGTGTCGTTAGCGGTGTCGTTCCGGGGCACGGCTCGGATCATCACCACGTCCACAGAGTTGCGCGTGCGGTTGACGATGATCTCGTAGACGCCGCCGAAGGCGAATACGCGGATGTTGTCGCGCAGCCGGCTGCGATTTGCGAACACGGCGTCAAACGTGGCGACGTCCGGGATCACTATCGTGTCTTCGTCAGGAGAATCGGGTACCTCTGGGGTTTCCGGGACTTTGGGAGCTTCAGGGGTCTCAGGAGTTTCAGGTTCCTCTGGGGCCTCAGGTTCTTCAGGAGCCTCTGGCACCTCAGGAGCCTCTGGCACCTCAGGAGCCTCAGGGTCTTCAGGAGTATCGGGTTCTTCAGGAGCATCGGGTTCCTCTGGCGCCTCCGGAGCTTCAGGTTCTTCCGGGACCTCGGGTTCCTCTGGAGCCTCGGGTTCCTCTGGAGCCTCGGGTTCCTCCGGGGCTTCAGGTTCCTCCGGGGCTTCAGGTTCCTCCGGGGCTTCAGGTTCCTCAGGCTCTTCCGGTTCCTCTGGAGTCTTTGGTTCTTCAGGTTCCTCTGGCTCTTCAGGCTTCTCCGGAACCTCGGGTTTCTCCGGAACTTCCGTGGCCGGCGGCTGCGTGAAAAGAGGAGGCCTGCCGTGTCCGTCTGCGCCCGGCCGAACGATCAGGTCCCCATCCTTCCCGGAACTGCCGGAGCCTCCCGAACTCGAACCTCCGGTAGTGTCTCCGCCTCCTGACGAAGTGCCGTTTTTATTCTGTGGTGGTAGGGGTACTGGCAGATGGATCTTAATGACCTCGATGTCACCGATGAATGGGATTTTTCCGGTGATACTAGAGATGTCGAACTGCAGAGCTGTTGAAGAGAGGGTTTGTAATGGTTACATACACAATACACACGTGACACTAAGATTCGTACAGCGGGCAAGGTACACTAAATGTTTCATTGATCCGTTAGGAGGCCGATGTAGGTTAGAGTTAGTATGCCTTTGTGTTGTTGAGGACACATTTTACATACATACAAATCAGGTTACATTTACGGTAGAACCGGTGGTAAAATGGATGGGTGGGTGTTGACAAATGACAATGACACCAAACCTCATCGCTTTATCAGATATAATTTCTGCCAGTCCCGTAGCTCAGTCGGTAGAGTGATGGACTCCGCGTGGTAAGAGCGCGCGTTCCCGGTTACAACAGTCCGGGTTCGAAGCGCGACAGGTGCTTGACGTTTATGGGCCTCCTTACATGGGTACATGGGTATGGTTGCGGTTGGTGGCAGGCCGTAGCCAGGCGAACTCAGTGAGGGGACCGGCCGTGCGCGGCTATGTGAGCACGTTAACCCTAGAACGCCTAGGGGGGGGGGTTGTATCAACCCCCCCCCCCCTGAGGTTTTTTCGAAGTGCACGCTAAACGGCTTGTCGTAGCGGGCTGAAATTTTCAATACCCTCTGGGGCAACCTTTGCGCATCTTTTGCCGAAAAAAATTGATCGGGTCATGTCAGGTCACGGAGTTATGACGTCATAAGAGGTACAGCCTCCGGCCGACAGTTACCAAACGTGTGCGCCGAATCCCTAGGTTTTCTGCCGGTGATACCCACATTGTTTGATGGATCATGATGAAACTTCCCATGCATGTTGGGGCAAGCATTGGCTATCGTGTGGTGCAAGAAAATTGACCGGGTCAGGTCAGGTCACGGAGTTATGACGTCATAAGAGGAACAGCGTCCGGTACTATTTTTGAAAAGCGCCCGAACCACTATTTTGCTAATTCTTGTCACCTCAATGGGAATATGCAGCAATATTAGCTTCTATAAGGAGCAAATGGACCTTCCAAATCCAAAAATACAATCAGATTTCAAAAATTTAAATTTTGATTTTTCGAATTTTTGCCGCCGACTGTGACCTTGCCGACTTCCGGCGCTCCCAACACGCCATTTTTAGAGCTAGGGAAACGAAATACATACCAAACGATAGAGAATTGATCAAGGAACACGATAGTGAAGGTTTCAAGTCGATATCTCCCACCGTTTTGCCGCAATCGCCGCGGAAAGTTGAAAAAAGTCTATTTTTCCGAAAATTTGACCTTTGACCGGTCAAAAGTAGGTCAAATGTTGACCTAGGACCAAAAAATATACCACCAATCGCGAGATCTCGTTGAGAGCAATCCGTTGGTTTTTTCCGCTAAGCTCTACGACCTTCCGTTTCGAAACGCCAGGGGGGGGGTCGTAACAACCCCCCCCCCCCTGGTCGTTCGTGTTATGAGAAATGGCCTGGTCGTGCGAGGGTTAAACTTTGGACTCTAAATTCTTCCACATAACCGGAATTGCGCGATCGGAAGATAAAGGGCAGGGTCACCGCAACAAACTTCGCTTAGCGGGGGCTCTGTTCTT